AGTTTTGGGATATTTTTAGACATTATTATACAGGATTTATATATTATTATTATTATACAGGACTTATATTATTATTATTATATACAGGATTTATATATTATTATTATACAGGATTTATATATTATTATTATTCTACAGGATTTATATATATTATTATTATACAGGATTTATATATTATTATTATTATACAGGATTTATATATTATTATTATATTACTACAGGATTTATATATTATTATTATACAGGATTTATATATTATTATTATACAGGATTTATATATTATTATTATTATTATACAGGATTTATATATTATTATTATTTATATTATACAGGATTTATATATATTATTATTATTATACAGGATTTATATATTATTATTATACAGGATTTATTATTATTATTATACAGGATGTATATATTATTATTATTATACAGGATTTATATATTATTATTATACAGGATTTATATATTATTATTATACAGGATGTATATATTATTATTATTATACAGGATTATTATTATTATACAGGATATTATTATACAGGATTTATATATTATTTTATTATACAGGATTTATATATTATTTTATTATACAGGATTTATATATTATATATTATTATACAGGATTTATATATTATTAACAATTTACAGTGCAATACAAGAGGGCTCCAACAGTTTGAGCTTACAATCTAAAACAATACAGCAACAATACAGTGCAATACAAGAGGGCTCCTTGGAGCTTACAATCTAAAACATTTTCTAAGGCACACCCAGGGAAACTCAAGGCACCCTGGTTGAGAAAGGCTGACCTAGAACATGGGACCAGCCCCCTGTACATAGACCCCTAATCTATTATATTGCAGCTTACCAATTCTTAGTTGTGATGTTGCATTTGTTTCCTTTTTTAGGCTTTCTTTCCTTTGTCTTCACCTGGTGGTCTGGCCAGTAAGTCTGTTTTCTATAAGAACAAGCTCACCTGCAGATGTAGCAGTTAAAGAGATTAGACCAACCAGTTATCACTGACGGGTGCCTTAAAATTTTCAACGTTTATGTAAAACCTTTATTCCAAAAAGAAAAAAAAACTGTTTTGCTGTAACTGCTTTTAAAGTGTTAGGTGCACTAGCAGATATAAATACACTAGTTCAGTGATGGCGAACCTTTTTGAGCCCGAGTGCCCAAACTGCAACCCAAAACCAACTTATTTCTTTCAAAGTGCCAACACTGCAATGAAACCTGAATATCGAGCTTTTGGTTTAGAAAAAACAACTCGTACAGTAGTACAAACTAATTAACAGTACAGGGGATGACCAGAGACTGCGGACACAGCACAGGGATGACCAGAGACTGCGGACACAGTACAGGGATGACCAGAGACTGCGGACACAGTACAGGGATGACCAGAGACTGCGGACACAGTACAGGAGATGACCAGAGACTGCGGACATAGTACAGGGATGACCAGAGACTGCGGACACAGTACAGGAGATGACCAGAGACTGCAGACACAGTACAGGGATGACCAGAGACTGCGGACAGTACAGGGATGACCAGAGACTGCGGACAGTACAGGAGATGACCAGAGACTGCGGACAGTACAGGAGATGACCAGAGACTGCGGACACAGTACAGGAGATGACCAGAGACTGCGGACACAGTACAGGAGATGACCAGAGACTGCGGACACAGTACAGGAGATGACCAGAGACTGCGGACACAGTACAGGAGATGACCAGAGACTGCGGACACAGTACAGGAGATGACCAGAGACTGCGGACACAGTACAGGAGATGACCAGAGACTGCGGACACAGTACAGGGAAAATACCAGGGACACAGTACAGATGACCAGAGACTGCGGACAGTACAGGGATGATGACCAGAGACTGCGGACACAGTACAGGAGATGACCAGAGACTGCGGACAGTACAGGGATGACCAGAGACTGCGGACACAGTACAGGAGATGACCAGAGACTGCGGACACAGTACAGGGATGACCAGTGACTGCGGACACAGTACAGGGATGACCAGAGACTGCGGAAAGTACAGGAGATGACCAGAGACTGCGGACAGTACAGGGATGACCAGAGACTGCAGACACAGTACAGGGATGACCAGAGACTGCAGACACAGTACAGGGATGACCAGAGACTGCAGACACAGTACAGGGATGACCAGAGACTGCGGACACAGTACAGGAGATGACCAGAGACTGCGGACACAGTACAGGAGATGACCAGAGACTGCGGACACAGTACAGGGATGACCAGAGACTGCGGACACAGTACAGGGATGACCAGAGACTGCGGACACAGTACAGGAGATGACCAGAGACTGCGGACACAGTACAGGGATGACCAGAGACTGCGGACAGTACAGGAGATGACCAGAGACTGCGGACACAGTACAGGGATGACCAGAGACTGCGGACACAGTACAGGAGATGACCAGAGACTGCGGACAGCACAGGGATGACCAGAGACTGCGGACAGCACAGGGATGACCAGAGACTGCGGACAGCACAGGGATGACCTGAGACTGCGGACAGCACAGGGATGACCAGAGACTGCGGACAGCACAGGGATGACCAGAGACTGCGGACAGCACAGGGATGACCAGAGACTGCGGACAGCACAGGGATGACCAGAGACTGCGGACAGCACAGGGATGACCAGAGACTGCGGACAGCACAGGGATGACCAGAGACTGCGGACAGCACAGGGATGACCAGAGACTGCGGACAGCACAGAGATGACTGCTGACCTTTGGGGAGGGAGGGGGAGCGGGTACCTGAATTTGACAGGTACCCGCTCTTACTTCCGCAGAGTTTTTTTTTTTTATCTTACCTGTTCCTTTATCCAGCCGCGCGCTGTCTTCCCGGCTTCTGTAGTGTGGGCGCTCGTCGGACAGCCGGATGCCCAGTGCGCATGCGCGAGAAGCGCTGCGCTTTGTGATTGGTCCGGCGGCTTCTGGGATCTGTCATGTGTCCCAGGTACCGCCTTACCATTCACAAAGAGCACTGCTTCTTGTGCATGCGCACTGGGGACCCGGCTGTCACGCACACTACAGCCGGGAAGACAGCGCGCCGCTGGATTCTCCTGGCGTGCCCACAGATAAGGCTCGGCATGCCGGCTGTGGCACGCGTGCCACGGGTTCGCCATCACTGCACTAGTTGAAGCCAAACTCCATCTAACACTCCCCCCCCCCCCCCCCCCCCCAGACTGACAATGCAGCTGTCCAAGGTTGCTGCTGTGCTCCTTCATCCAGAGTGGGGTGCTCTAATACAGTAGGTGTGTTAGTGCCCAGATCACCAGTTGAAAACAGAGGGGGGGGATTTGTAAGCGGCCACATGTTACATTTTTGGTTTGGGGTTTAACCCCTTCCAGTCCGGACACTTTTACCCCCTTCCTGTCCAGGCCAATTTCCAGCTTTCAGTGATATCACACTTTGAATGACAATTGCGCGGTCATGCAACACTGTACCCATATGAATTTTTTAGCATTTTTTGAGACAGATAAAGCTTTATTTTGGTGGTATTTATTCACCGCTGGGATTTTTTTTTTTTTTTGCTATGTAAATGAAAAAGTCCAAAAATTTTGAAAAATGTTTTTCTTATAAAATTGTGCAAATAAATAATATTTCATCATAAATCTTGGCCAAAATCTATTCCATTATCTAATTAGTAAAAAACAAAAAAATAACCTAAATTAGTTTTATAACCAAAAATTATAATTTTTAAACAATTTTTGTACATTTTTATTTTTTTTCTTTATATTTTTTTTGTTTTGTTTTTTTTTTATGGAAATTTAGAATGCATTAACTTAAAAAAACTGGTTTAACCACTTCCAGTCCGGACACTTTCACCCCCTTCCTGTCCCCAGGCCAATTTTCAGCTTTCAGCGCTATCACACTTTGAATGACAATTGCGCGGTCATGCAACACTGTACCCATATGAATTTTTTAGCATTTTTTTGCGACAGATAAAACTTTATTTTGGTGGTATTTATTCACCACTGGGATTTTTCATTTTTTTTTGCTATGTAAATGAAATAGTCCACAATAATGTTGAAAAAAAGTGTTTTTCTTATAAAATTTTGCAAATTAATAATATTTCATCATAAATCTTGGCCAAAATCTATTCCGTTATCTTTTTAGTGCAAAAAAAAAAAAAAAACTAAATTAGTATATAACCAAAAATTATAATTTTTAAAAAAAATTTTTTTTACATTTTTATTTTATTTCTTTATATTATTATTTTTTTTTGTTTTGTTTTTTTTTTACATACTGTCACCCTAGCAGTACAGTGTCACCATGGTGACACTGTACTACTTGTGGGGGGTGATGAAGATTTTTTTTTTTTTTTTACACTGATTGCTTTTACACCCATAAAGGCTGTAAAATCAATCATCTCTCCTTCTCTCTGGCTGCATTCTTGCAGCCATTGAAAAATACTGTGTGAGCTGTGATTGGTCACAGCTTGTCACATGGTACAAGGCTGTTGTGAATAGCCCTGTACCATGTGATCTCTGTGATCATTCACAGATTTCACACGTAGTAAGCAATGATGTCAGAAGTGACATCTTGCTTACTACTCTGCATGTGATCACTGATTGGCCAATCAGTGATCACATGATCGGGACCTCGCACAGAGGTCCCGTCCGACGATCGGTGTTCTACTGTGTCCGGAGGACACAGCGGGCACCGGATCGCGGTGCTGCACGCTACCAGGGAGCGCGCACAAGCAGAGGGCGGGGAGGCCGTTTATAAACAACAGCCGGACGGGAAGTGGTTAATAAGATCGGAAGACTGTAGTGGATTTCCCAGTCTTTCCTGACTCCATGTTCCCCTAGTATTCATCCTTCCTGTAGTCATACAGTATTTGTCTGAGCAGACGGCTGTAGCACCGTGCCTGCTCTGTGCTTGGCCAGCCCTGCTGTACAGGATTTCTTCTTCCCTAGATATCATTTCACACCACTCTTTTCTTTCTTTTTGAACCCTGCAGCTTCTTCCTGACTTGCTGGATTCCGCCCTCCTGGATAATGAAGAGTGACAGACGCTGTTCTCTGGACACTGCGCTTCCACGTTTCTGTCCGGTGACACGTATCCATTGTGACAGAGACATCCTGCACCAAGGTAGACACGGAGCTCAGTGACACCTCTGTTAGGTGTGACATCTGCTGTGTGCCGTTCTTATACAGCAGTGTGTTTTCTTTTTTGTGCACTTTTTTTTATGAAGCTTTGTTGTGTTTGAATATTACAGAAAGTTCTTGGCTTCTGCTTGTTAAAGTGATGAAATCTTTGAAAACAAAAAAAAAAAAAAAGTTAATTAAAATAGTTTAAGCAGCATTGGGTGAGCTGGTATGTGTTAGGGGTCGGCTCTGTGTGTATTATTTATTGGCTCATATAACGTCAACATAGATCTAGATCAGGGGTCTACAAACTTTACAAATAAAGGACCAGTTTACTATGCTTCAGACTTTGGGGGGGGGGAGGGCAGACCATGCCCAGTTGGAGTAGAAAATACCCTGACATCATTGGGAGTAATAGTGCTCCATTGTTGGTGTCGGTGGGAATAATTGCGCTCCATTGTTGGTGTCGGTGAGAGTGATAGTGCTCCATTGTTGGTGTCGGTGGGAGTAATAGCGCTCCAATGTTGGTGTCGGTGGGAGTAATAGCGCTCCAATGTTGGTGTCGGTGGGAGTAATAGCGCTCCATTGTTGGTGTCGGTGGAGTAATAGTGCTCCATTGTTGGTGTCGGTGGGAATAATAGTGCTCCATTGTTGGTGTCGGTGGGAGTAATAGTGCTCCATTGTTGGTGTCGGTGAGAGTAATAGTGCTCCATTGTTGGTGTCGGTGGGAGTAATAGTGCTCCATTGTTGGTGTCGGTGGGAGTAATGCTCCATTGTTGGTGTCAGTGGGAGTAAGTGCTCCATTGTTGGTGTCGGTGGGAGTAATAGCGCTCCATTGTTGGTGTCGGTGAGAGTAATAGTGCTCCATTGTTGGTGTCGGTGGGAGTAATAGTGCTCCATTGTTGGTGTCGGTGGGAGTAAGTGCTCCATTGTTGGTGTCGGTGGGAGTAAGTGCTCCATTGTTGGTGTCGGTGGGAGTAATAGCGTTCCATTGTTGGTGTCGGTGGGAGTAATAGCGTTCCATTGTTGGTGTCGGTGGGAGTAATAGCGCTCCATTGTTGGTGTCGGTGGGAGTAATAGCGTTTCATTGTTGGTGTCGGTGGGGGAGTAATAGCGTTCCATTGTTGTGTCGGTGGGAGTAAGTGCTCCATTGTTGGTGGGTGGGAGTAATAGCGTTCCATTGTTGGTGTAGGTGGGAGTAATAGCGCTCCATTGTTGGTGTCGGTGGGAGTAATAGCGCTCCATTGTTGGTGTCGGTGGGAGTAATAGCGCTCCATTGTTGGTGTCGGTGGGAGTAATAGCGCTCCATTGTTGGTGTCGGTGGGAGTAATAGCGCTCCATTGTTGGTGGTGTCGGTGGGAGTAATAGCGCTCCATTGTTGGTGTCAGTGGAAGGAATAGTGCCCCATCATTGGTGTCAGCAGGAAAGAACAGTACCCTATTGTTGGGAGGAATAGTTCCCCATTGTTGCTGTCAGAGGGGGGGGAGAGTGCCTCCTATCAGTGGGAGGAATAGTTGCCCAAGGGACAGATAAAGGTATGCAAAGGGCCGAAGTTTGGAGTCCACTGATCTAGCTCAATGTAAAACAACAGCGGTCATAATGCAGCTTACACTCTAATGTCCTCACCACAGTCACAGAAAAGTTGACTGCTGATGCTTTGTGGGATAAAACTGGAACCAAGAATGCAAGAATGGGGGGGATGCACACTCCATGTAGATAAAGCCCCGGCCATAGATGGATCGAATGTCAGCCAGTTCAGCAGGGACCAGCTGAGATTCCATCCATGTATGGGGGTAGGCTGGTCTTACTGAAGTTGATCCATCGATTGACTTCATTACAACCAGCCTGTCAGATTTTTGATATGCAATTACTGCCGGCGGCTATAACCGCCAGCATCAATCATTGTGTTCTGCCAGTAGGGAAGGCTGCCCACCAGCAGAACACAATAGCCCTGTGGGAAGGATTCCCCAATCAACACTGCCTTTGTTGGTGATGGAATCGAGCAATGATTTTTTTCTTTTTAACTATACCAAGCCCATCAGACATACCAGGTAGCACCACTTAGGCTGGCCACAGATTGTTCGAATCTCGGCCAGCTCAGCAGGAACCAGACAAAATTTGAACCATGTATGGGCAGGCTGAATGTACCCAAGCTGACTGATCAACCTGGGCCCAACTAACCTGCCAGATTTTACATGCAATTATCGCTAGCGGCCAGCAATAATTACTGTGTTCTCCCAGCGGGGATGGCTTGGCTGGGAGGGATTCCCCTGTCAGCACTGTCTGTATCTGGGGATCCTCCGTCTATGGCCTGTCTAAGTGTTTGGCCATGGCGCTGTCTGATTAAAAGGTATCCATAAACAATAGGTGACTGCGACCAATGATTGCTGGATCAGCTAACAATTCTGAAGTCTATGATCGGTTCGGTTTTTTTACAGCATAGACCTGGGCTCTACAGGTAAAACGCGAAAAATTAGAATATGGTGCAAAAGTTCATTTATTTCAGTGCAGCAACTTAAAAGGTGAAACTAATATATGAGACTCATTACATGCAAAGCAAGATAGTTCAAGCCGTGATTTGTCATCATTGTGATGATTATGGCTTACAGCTCATGAAAACCCCAAATCCACAATCTCAGAAAATGAGAATATTCCATGCAATCAATAAAGCAAGGATTGTACACAGAACAATATCGGACCTCTGAAAAGTAGAAGCATGCATATGTACTCAGTACTTGGTTTGGGCCCCTTTTGCAGCAATTACTGCCTCAATGCGGCGTGGCATGGAAGCTATCAGCCTGTGGCACTGCTGAGGTGTTATGGAAGACCAGGATGCTTCAATAGCGGCCTTCAGCTCTTCTGCATTGTTCGGTCTCATGTCTCTCATCTTTCTCTTGGCAATGCCCCATAGATTCAGGTCAGGCGAGTTTGCTGGCCAATCAAGCACAGTAATCCCACGGTCATTGAACCAGGTTTTGGTGCTTTTGGCCATGTGGGCGGTGCCAAGTCCTGCTGGAAAATGAAGTCAGCATCCCCATAAAGCTCGTCTGTGGAAGGAAGCATGAAGTGCTCCAAAATCTCCTGGTAGACGGCTGCGTTGACCCTGGACTTAATGAAGCACAGTGGGCCAACACCAGCAGATGACATGGCTCCCCAAATCAACACAGACTGTGGAAACTTCACACTGGACTTCAAGCATCTTGCAGTGTGTGCTTCTCCATTCTTCCTCCATACTCGGGGTCCTTGGGCCTCTCCATTCTTCCTCCATACTCGGGGTCCTTGGGCCTCTCCATTCTTCCTCCATACTCGGGGTCCTTGGGCCTCTCCATTCTTCCTCCATACTCGGGGTCCTTGGGCCTCTCCATTCTTCCTCCATACTCGGGGTCCTTGGGCCTCTCCATTCTTCCTCCATACTCGGGGTCCTTGGGCCTCTCCATTCTTCCTCCATACTCGGGGTCCTTGGGCCTCTCCATTCTTCCTCCATACTCTGGGTCCTTGTGCCTCTCCATTCTTCCTCCATACTCTGGGTCCTTGGGCCTCTCCATTCTTACTCCATACTCTGGGTCCTTGTGCCTCTCCATTCTTCCTCCATACTCGGGGTCCTTGTGCCTCTCCATTCTTCCTCCATACTCGGGGTCCTTGGGCCTCTCCATTCTTCCTCCATACTCGGGGTCCTTGGGCCTCTCCATTCTTCCTCCATACTCGGGGTCCTTGGGCCTCTCCATTCTTCCTCCATACTCGGGGTCCTTGGGCCTCTCCATTCTTCCTCCATACTCGGGGTCCTTGGGCCTCTCCATTCTTCCTCCATACTCTGGGTCCTTGTGCCTCTCCATTCTTCCTCCATACTCTGGGTCCTTGGGCCTCTCCATTCTTACTCCATACTCTGGGTCCTTGTGCCTCTCCATTCTTCCTCCATACTCGGGGTCCTTGTGCCTCTCCATTCTTCCTCCATACTCGGGGTCCTTGGGCCTCTCCATTCTTCCTCCATACTCGGGGTCCTTGGGCCTCTCCATTCTTCCTCCATACTCGGGGTCCTTGGGCCTCTCCATTCTTCCTCCATACTCGGGGTCCTTGGGCCTCTCCATTCTTCCTCCATACTCGGGGTCCTTGGGCCTCTCCATTCTTCCTCCATACTCGGGGTCCTTGGACCTCTCCATTCTTCCTCCATACTCGGGGTCCTTGGACCTCTCCATTCTTCCTCCATACTCGGGGTCCTTGGGCCTCTCCATTCTTCCTCCATACTCGGGGTCCTTGGGCCTCTCCATTCTTCCTCCATACTCGGGGTCCTTGGGCCTCTCCATTCTTCCTCCATACTCGGGGTCCTTGGGCCTCTCATTAATGTGCTTTGCAAAAGAAGTTGGAAATTTTTATTTGTAAAAACTTGCAACCAACATTCAAAATTTTCTTACAAAAATAGAATTTACATAAATAAATAAATAAATAAATAAATAAAAAACACATACCATATTCTGGTTTTAACCTGGACATAACATAACAAGTTATTCCTCCAAAAAAAAAAAAAAAAAAAAAAAAAACTATACTATAGGACATAAACTGATAACGACAAGGTTAAGAAACCTGATCTTCAGGCACTTGTGGCCTTTCATCAAAACAGTATTTCCTCAGCAAAATCTAAGGGAGTGAAGGAGATGAAAAAGAAGACAGGAAAGATACCAACACCCACGATCAACAGATGGCAGCTACAGGCTTGATATTCCTCCACGCCTTTATCCAAGCCCTTCGCCGCCATCTGTCTCTCTCAAGACCCCGAATTTTCCCAACCTCACCAAGAATGTCACACACCACCACCTGGACCGGAAGGACTTTCTGCCGAAGGGAGACCTGACACCGTGCATTCCATGTGAAGTAGCGGACCACTAGACAGACTAGAAAAAGAGTGTCAAAATCATAACCAGCATGG